TCTGTATATCTTATAATTAAATACAAATCAAAACAATGCCAAACCAATTTAAATAATTTCTGAATTAAATACGAATTATGATTAAGTATTTCTTTTCATAATTTTTTTTCCAACAATGTTTAAAAATTCGAACAAGTATCTGACATAATTATATTCTTTTGTATACAATATTTAATAAAATTTTAATGTTACAATAATAAAATGTTTACATCATATGCTTTTTGTACTCTAAGATTAGCTCTAACAAGTTAATTATTAATATTACCCAGAATTCGTATAATTTATTTAGAACATCGAAAGTAGTTTTTGTAATGTTTATATGTATAATTGTATGGAAAATTGTTTTATTAAATGGTATAATTTAAAAATTTCTTATTTTTATAAATTCGTTAATTGACAGAATTCTAAAAAAATATGGGAATGAATAGTGACGACTAACAAACGTGTATTTAATGAAGTAAAATCATGGTTTTCTTATACTTCAAATATATATTTTAGTTTTTATTATTATACATATGAAAAATAAATATTTTGTAATTGAAGTTATAACTTTCTAATTTTATTAAGTCCCTTAAGTTTTGCTGCTTTTAGCTTTCTCCTTGCTTGATCCTTGATTACTTCTAATTGGTGATTTTGTTGACCGTTTTTTTTTCGTTTCTAATAAAATTATAATTTATAATTTCATTCTTACAATATGGTATTTTTGTATATATAAAAAAATTATTGAATTACTTTGTATTCCAATTTGTTCAGCATTATCAAAAAAATATTGACACGCTAAGAAACAATCTCCTTGGTACTCTTTAGGTTGTGCTATATCAAAATAAATTATGCGTGTAAGTATAAAAAAATTATTTGTATAATATTCAAAATATCAATAATTTTTATAATGTAGCTATTTCAAATAGTATACTAATCTACTATGTAAAAAATTGAACCATTTACTATAACATTTTAGAAATTTTAAGCAATAATAGTAATATATAATTTATCTTTTTAAAATTAACTGCTAGTATATTTATAACTGGCTCAAATAATCATTATTTGTAGAATAAATTTTGTATATACTAAGAATTTATAATTCATATAAGAAAAGAGATAAAAAACATGCAAGATTTATGATATCAAAAAAATAAGAATCAAACAATATATAAAGAACAGAAATGAACGAAATAAGAAAAATATGAGTAAACGCATAAACAATATTAATATATAATGTTAATATTTTTCGAATACTTTACAAACAGAATAATCGTATTTATAATCAAACTTGAAAAGTATACCAATGTGCACTGATGCATAACCTACGAGCAAAATCTACTTACCAGAAATTCTATTTAATTAGACACAAGAAATTTGATAAGAGGAAAGGAAACTTTAAATATCAAATCATCGAATAGAAAAACTATAAAGTATTTTTAGATATTAAATATTTAAAACAAATAAAAATGTTATATTATGTAATATTAATGTTTAAAATGATTCTATATTCAAAAATTATACTTATAAAATTTTATAATTTAGCAATTTTGTTTATTAATCGTTATCAGAGTTCGTAAAAGCTATTTATTTTTTATATTTTTCCATTTTGTATTATTATTATTATTTATATATAAATATTGATAGAAGTAAATTAACATATTCAATTTCTTAATAAATGTAAAATAATACAAATAAAAATTATTCATTTCAATTTTATATCGTGAAACTTAAGAGATAAACGATTAAATACATGTGTATATTTGTAGCAGCTTTAAAATATTTTTATAAATTTAAAGTCTCACCTTCTAACACATTTATTATAAATATCATAATTTAATAATATAATAAAAATATTTCTTACATTGACAGATTTCCACACATTTTTCCATATTCATAGCTCTATAACCTCCTGTATAAAAAATCAATATTTAATTAAAATGATTAAAATATTTCTAAATTAAAATATTTTACTAACCGTGAGAATAATTTCTGTAGCAATCTCGTTTGCAAGAAAGGATTAATGTGGGATTCAAATGGTCTTTAAAATAAAATTATTATTATTGAAATTTAATTTAAAGAAGATCTTTCATAATTAAGTCTATTATTGATTTATTAATAAACATAAAAAATAGCATATAAACAGAAACTTATTTTTTATAAATTAATGTACTTAAAAAAACGCATATAATAGAGTTTAGAATGTTTATTCCCAAATTACGTATAAATAAGAAACTCTTGCAATACTTCATGAATATAGTATGTCGTTAATATAAAATTACGTATTATTGTAATTATTAATTGAACACAAAATTTCAATGGTATAATAAAAATATTATATGCAAGATCTATAAAATAACTATATTTTTGAGCGATATTATTCTGAACGGATGATTCTCTAGTAATATATAAAAATATATTTTAAATATAATAAAAAATATATATTTAATATATACGATATAAGGATATGATATTCTAATACCAGTTAAATAAGCCAAAGAAAAATATGAACGTTATCTAATCTAATCTATCTGTATTATAAAAATAGGATATTTCCCTATTTTCAGATCAACCCCACCTATTCATCGGTAATTCCGATAAATTTAGTTTCAGATTCAATTTACATACATAAAACGTTATATATTCTATGTGAATATATATGATTTTTTATTTATAATTTTCATTTAATTTTGTATGGTTTAAAGGAAATTAACCATACATGCATTGATTTCAAATATAATTCTAAATAATCGGTAATTATAATAAATTTTTTTGTAAAATTTGTTTTGTAAATTTATACAATATTCTAAAACATTTATGGATAACACAAAGATTTTACAGAAGATATGTGAATGTTTATGATGTATTGATATTTTTATATTTTGATATATTAATATGGTGATATATTGTTATAAGCCTATATAAAAGTATACGAAATAAAACAAGATTAAATGATATAATAAATTTTACTTTCAATAAATTAATTATAAAATCTGTAGAATTTTAAATATATATATATATATATATCTTTATATTTATGCATTTATGATTGCAGATCGTTTATTAAGATTCAATTATCATTTCAAACGTAGCACAAGGCAATAGAAACCATCACTATCAAGTTGTATAAATAATATAATTCATCGATTGATACCTATTAATGTATGGGGAAGTCAACCATTATATACGTAACAAGTAAATTTAGTATTTTGGCTCATAGAAATACTTTTAACCTACATAGTATATTACAACACTGTTTAAATATATATTGGTTATAAACTTTAGTTAATATACATAAAATATGTATATGATAAATTAAGGATACTACTGAAATATTATTAAAAATATGTGCTTTTATATGAGAAACAAGGAATTAATTTTTAGTTCACTACGTATTTTATTTTAGTTTACTTTTCGTTGTTTAAAAAATTCTTTCTATAAATTTACATGCTATAAATTTGAAATACCTAATACTGAGATAAGTTTTCAGTGTCGACACTTACATTAAATTTAAAAATATATAATAATATTGACAAGAATAAAATTTCAATATATTTAATTATATTTTTATAAATTTTCTATTTAAAGCAACAAATACATATTTTACTTACATTCACATAATTGAAGACATTCTAATAATATACTATTGACACAAGATAAACAACAAATAACAATAAAAATTATAAATATTAGAAACTTCATTTTTATATATAATATTTGTTTTTGTAATTATATACGTCAAGCTTTTATTTAGCTGTTTTCTATTATTTATTATACTCTAACGATTTGAGATCATATTTATAAAAAGTATTTGAATAAATTGATGATGTTATAAATACTTGAATAATAAAAAAACCACAGAAAATTATTTTATCAAAATTAAATTTGTAATAATAACTGATTTTCTAAATGTACGTTTTAATATATTGCTCCAAGCTTAAAAAAATTTTTTTATGTAACAATTCTATGAGTAAAATTACTATATTTAATTATGAGTATAAACAGAGATAAAACTGAAATAAACCTAAATTTGTTTTTGTATTTTAAATAAATATAGATAAATTTGTAATATGATAACGAGATTTATTTTATAAAAACTTGTATTGTAATCATAGTAAAATTTTTTTAATGGCTTTGAATCGAAATCATTATATGCTGTACATAATCTTTTAAAACGTAAAATACACAGAATCTCAAAACTTATTTGAGGAATTATTTTTTTTAAATGTGACTTAACTAGATATTAAAAGATTTTTATAAAAAATGCTTGAAGTATTAAAAAATTGAGTTTAAAATCGTTTTTATAATAATAATATAAATACATAATTATTATAGTAATAAGGAAAATAATCAAATTCAGTTGATTCAAGTGAAGAGTTCAATTTTTTATAAGGTAACGCCCGTATATTAGTTAAAAGTTGTGTAACTTAAGATGCTGTTCTTACTAAAATAGTTCATTACATTTTTATATAAAATTAAACTACCTTATTTGATGTTTGAAATAATAATTTCGCTTGAATACTTATTATATTTTATTAATTTTTCTATTATCGATATGAATTATCAAATACATTACTTAAATAAATACTTATTAAAGTGCTTACTACAAATTATATAAATTATGAAATTTTTAAAAGAAATCTAATAAAATAATATTACAAAATAATCAATTTCAGTTGCAAATTATATTATAAAAAGAATTAAAGAATTGACGTATAATAAAATGTACTGGGTAATTTTCGAAAAAATTCTTCCAAATGGAACAAAATTTAAGTGAAATTCATTCATATTCGTATTTGTATTTTACATTATATAAATAATAGTATTTATTTCAATGATTTAATATGTAAAAATAAAATTATCCCGAGTTACAGCTAAAATATAACAAATTTTAACAAAAATAATTAAAATTTTATTTGTTTTACTCCATGTAATTATACTAAACCTTAATTATCTCCAAGACAAATTATATTTATGTTTTCATTATATGTGTTCTTATAATCTCATATTTTTTATTATTTGGTATGTCTTTTTCTGTCGTAGCTTGTTCTATTGACAGCAATTGTTTTCCAGCTATAATAGTATCAATATTTAAATTTATTTATTGAAACAACAAATTTTAATCATTTTTCCATAGTATTTAACTTACTTTTTTCAAAAAAGTACTGACATGCTTCTTTACAAGAATCTTTGAATTTCTTATCTAAAGCTGCATTAAAAAATATGATAAAAATTTTTTTAAATTGTACGTCATATTTTATTTTCTACAATAATTTATATGATGTCAATTAAAGATAAATAATATTTTTGATTATTTGAAAAATTTATAAATATTTATCAGCTTGCTATAAGTTGCTATCAAATTTTAATATAAATTTTAAAATAATATAACAATATATATTAATATTATTTTTATCGACTAAATATAGTATAATTAATAGACTTCTTATTCATTATAAATACAAAGAACAATATTATAAATGTCTTTGTATTACAATATATATATATATATATATATAAATACTACTTTTAATCACCAAAATAAACTTCTAATATAATTTTTATCATTAAAAGCTGTAAAGAATATTTTTCATTTCAAATGAAATTTGCTTTTTTTTTATTAATGAAATATAAATTATTTTATATTTATTAATATATCTAAACTTTTTTTATATTATATTATATATAATTATATTATATATAATTATATATATATAAGTATATATATATTTATACAACTAAATTTGATTTATATTTTAAACAAAATTTCGAAAAATCACAATGGCTTAATATTTGCAAATAAATGAAATTTATAACTTCAATGTAGTAAAAAAATTGTTTTTGCTACAATTTAATATTTATAATATAAGTGACTATGTAACTCACTATCGCAGACTCGTAAACATTGACTATAATTTAGAATATGCTCGTTTTCTATATAGTAAGAATGTAATTTTATTATTTAATATTTTATTATTACAATATCATATATAGATTTAAAATCTACTCACTTGGAAAATAATTTTTATAACAGCTTCTTTCACAAGACACTTGAAGTCGAAAACTTTTATTTCCTTAAAAAAATATTTATTTGAAAAAAAAATTCTAAAATAACATAATATAAATTAAATATTATATATTCATTAATACCCAAAAAATTATATTCAAATAGAAATTCAGTACATTGTGTTATAACAGTTAACAAAAAATCTCGTAATAGTCTTTTGAATTAGAACTTAAATGTGTATTAAGTACAAAATTTAAATATTATTATTATAATATATCATTATAAAATAAAAATATTACCTAAGCATTTATTTAGACATTGGTTTAATTCAAAATACTCTGCTAGTACATAACAAAGAAAAAATAATATTCCCAATATTGTATATTTCATTTTGCATAAATATATTGATTAAAAAAAAAATGTTTAGTCGAAACTGATTTAATTTTTTTTAGAATACTTTATAATTTATAGTAAAACTATTAGTAAAATAATACGAAGTTATATGCACGAATTTGTTATTAATTGTTTACTGTTATTCAAAGACGATTTTATAAAAACAAAACTATTAAGTAAAAAAAAACAATATTTTTCGTTTGAAATTTTAATTATTGCTAATTTACTAATTTTAGAATAATTATAATATCTACAACTGAAATGTGATAAATAAATATATTATGCATAATAAATAAATATAATAATAGATTCAGTTAAGATAAGTTATGTAAATAAAATATTAAACAATATATAATTTATAAATTAATACAATATATTTTTTAACACATTTGAAGTCCGAATATCATTACAATAAAACATTTTTTTAAATATTTTTTACATACAACATGGTTCAATTTTTATTCTTAATATTAAAAATAATCCAACAGTAGTTACTTTTCGACATTATTTTACTTAGTAGGACATTAAATTGTATTACTAAAATATTATAATATAATATATTATTATTAAAACTTTTCAAATTATTTATATGATAGAAATATTTTGTAATAAATTTTTTCCACTTAATTTAGTATTTTACTTCATGTTATTTCAATTTCTCCAACTAAATTCAATGTTATTATAGAATATGTTAAAAATGATGGAACTTATTAATATTTATTTTTATCGTTTTTTTAATTTTTTTTTCATCGAATTTTAGTACAAAACAAAATCTAATGGAGAGATATTTAAATTATCTCCCACTAAACATTTACTTATGTATAAGAATATTATTTATATATAATTAGTGTCTTATTTATAATAAAGCAGACCTTATTCCGTAGGCATTATCATTATATATAAACATTCTTTCGCATTTTTAACAATTTTAACACATAATATTAGCATTGAGACGTAAAATATTATATTAGCCTCTATTTTATTAAAGGATTAATAAAATATTTACTATTTATATAGTATAGTTTCTAACTTGACTTTAACATATATAAGGCATTCTATCGCCTTATTAAAATTAAATTTGAAGGTAACTGAAATTGATAAATTAATTTTCTCATTTTTCTAATAATAAATTAACACAAATATTTATGAATAAATATAAATTGTTAATACCATTATTTATCCGGGCCATTAAAAAAAACTGCACATCACTACAAATTTGTTGATATTCTTGAAACTTGTTAAAAACATATTCGTACATCGAATAATAATAATACTTAAATATGTTAAAATTTAATAATAATAATAAATAAAATAATTAATTATGTTCGATTACTCTTACAATAAAATATAAATTAAATGAAATATAATTCAGACTATTTTGTAAGTGTACGTTTATCTTATATTTATTTTGTTTACTACTATTTATTTTATTATATTCGTATTATAAGAAGATAATTACAGATATATGAAAATATTATTATACTCGCAATGAATATATTATAATTCATTATTTGAGGTATAAGATATAGTATAAATTAAAGATGGAAAATAATTAATTTACTCTCTTGCTGCAATCAAATAGCAGAAACATGTTTTTAGTAAAATTTTATACATTATTCTGTAAAGTTTAGAGATAACCATTAAAAAATATAATGATGGATTCAATTATTATAAAATTTTAAACATTTTTTCTTGAATTTACATTATCATAAATTTTCAAAATTAGTACACGTAATCGCGCAAAAACTAATTAGCTTATCGAATGAATTCCAATTTTATGTTATACGCTAAATAAAAAGAAAATATTTAATATTTATAAAAATCTAAAATTAATCGAAAAGCTAACGGAAAAATTTTTTCTAACATCTTTATAAAGTATTTTATTTAAAAAATATATTATTTAAGAAATTTTTATTTACCTAGATAAATTAAGTTTCTATACTCATTAAACTGTAAATTGTTATAATTGTATGCTTTTCTTTAAAAAACACCTTTCATTAATGATATTTCAAAATTCAAAATAATTGATTTTTTTAAGATCTGCGACGGATTATACTATTAAACTGTAAAATTTTAACTTCTCCGAAAACGTAGTTTCGTAATTTAATCATAATACTGTCATTTTTTTAATAAGTTAACAATAAAAATTGTGCTTTAAATGAATTTATTACTTTAAAATATATATTGTTTATTATTTAATTTAAATAATGAAAAAGATTTTTCCAACGGTCAATATTGAAGCATATTTGAAATAAAATGTTATTATAAAACAGTTCAAAAATAAGTTTTAAATACATTAATATCCAAACATTTTATATGTTATTGGATATCATGTTATGAAATATAATCTGTTGCATATGGAGAAAAATAAAACAATCTTGCAAATAGTATTTTGAAAAACTAAATTTTACTATTTTAGGCATTGGGCTGTAATAAATATAATTATAACCTTGAAGATGTACTTATCGTTTCTCGATTTATTTAATAAATTCTTAAACTGATAATATTTCTTACATAAAAAACGCTAACTTATTGTAATTTTGTTCAATAAATTGTACCATACTGACAAAAATGAAGAAACATTGTATGATAATAGCGACGAATATGCTGCTCTTAAGATTACTTGGAAGTACACAAATATTAAAAACATGTTTTTTTTCACCATATACCTAGCCATTTCGTGAAGAAAACGGAGGTAACTTGTATTTCTTCACGCCACAATGATAATAATGCGGTATTGCTAATGAGAATGGCAGAAATAATTAATCATAATAGTAGTTGTAAGAAATAGAGAAACAATAGTCGTTTGTACCGATATTTATGACATGTTTTTATGTACATATCTTGTGACAAATAATTGTATAATCGATGATTCCGTACAAGTAATGTGATAATGTATAAGGAAAAAACAAATATTTCGATAAAAGAATAAAAGATGTAGTGCAATCTTAATGGTCGATATCATAGGATTTAAAGATAAATAATTAATTAATCGCAGTAAATACAATCACGTTATATAATTACATCACAGAGAATTATTTTTTATTTAATTTATCGTTCTTTCTGCTTCTCGCGCTTTCACTCGCACTTTCGCTCACTATTTCATTCTTTCTCTGGCTTCATTTTGCTCTTCTTCATCCCTTAAACGCTATTTAAGCGTCTCATTTTATTTTATAATATATCCATTCGAATTTACTCGTTTTACTTCATTTGAAACATCCCATGACTTTTTTCTTTTCACGTACGCATGTACGTCTCGCGACTTAAATATATGTATCTACTTAGTAAATACATTTTCACTGTGCAGATCCATCCAGGTGTTTATTTTCTCTTTTTATAAGATTACGAAATCATTAAAAGATTTAATGTGTGAGTGTACATGTGTGTATGAATGTTTGTGTGTTTGTAATTTTTTGTTTTCTTTTATTAGGGAACTTGTACGTGCTCCAGACTTTCCATCGGCGCTAACAATGTAAGTCTCTAATTCTGGATCTTAAAGCTACCACATAATATAAAAGGAAAATTTGTGTTTCGACTAGTTATTTTTAGCAAGAAAATGTATAAAAATTTAACGAATTATTATTTTATTACTTTGAATTAACTCTATTGAAATGTCAGATAAATCTTTTTTACTTCTAGTTTCGTATTATAAAAAGATAATTAAAAGTATGCCAAGATATTATCATACTTGTATTACCTAATGCTTTACATGAAAAATGCAGTACCAAAACGGACATTCAGTTTTGTAATTTTAAAATCTAAATATAAATGTTATTCGTACATCCGGTTTTTTATTTTAGTCCTTACGACTCTTTCATTTATTTAAAAACAGTTCAGTGCCATAATATGAAAATTTTGTTATAAATAGATTTATTGTATAACTACATATACACAAAATTTTGTAGCTACTTTCAACTATTTAACCATTACCATTTTTTCTCTAATCTTGACTAATATTTTCAAGTACCGTTTATTTATTAAATGAAATTTTAAGAAAAAAATAATCTTAATATATTAAATAACATTCCCAAAGAATTAATCCATTACTTATCAAATATTAATGTTTCACTATTTAAAAGGAAGCTCACATTTTTACTTTATTTTAATTTGCAGACATTTATCTCTTTCGTGTGTAAAAGGTTAATAGAAATCTTGTGTTTCCAGTATACTGAGAATTCAAAAAGAACGTTAAATTTTATTACCGCAATATCTTATCTTCTTATTAGAAAAGTATATCACTATATATAAATACTATTTCTTAAATAATGATAGTCAGTTCGTTAAATATAAAGAAAATTGCCATCGCACAATGTATAAACATGCCATTTCTATTTTTGTTTTGTATTAGGTTAAACAGACCTTAAGTTTACAACAATTTTCTTTATATTTGTAGTGTACTAATTAAATTTTTTATTTTAAATAATCATTTGTTACTAGGAAAACGCGAATATAAATTTCTTTGCATTTATTTTTCAAAAGTTGATACATTTGTGACACTGTTTTATTTATCTTTATTTTATATCTTAAATTGAATACTGCCTATGTTAATATCTAAATAATGGATCCAAAGTATTGAGAGATATTTTCGTTTTATTAGATTATTCTCTAATTTACACATCAAGTAAAAGCAAAAATGTCAATAAAAAAATACATGTTGCAAGTTCCGGATAACCTTGACTATATAAGCCAGTGTGTATTTTGTGTATGGTGTGTACAGACATGTGTTTTCTCTTTCTCTCGTAATTTTCTGCACCCAAAAATCTCACCCTACATACATATAAGGTCTATTAACATTTTTTTACTATGTCAGACCAAGCCTAGTATTTAGTATTCATATTTATTCTACACTTACACTTTGCGTATGCTGTTCTCATTTGAAGTTTTTCTCTTAAATTTTCTATTCTTCGTCGCTTAAATCGTAAGTAATTTTTATTTACAAGCACGTGGCGACCGATCACAACATTTATCATTACCAAGAAATAATAATTAATGTCTTTCATATAACGACTTTTCAATGTTTTAATAATTTCATTTAATTTAAAAATTTTTGTTATGTATTATTTTTTTTATAAAACCACAATAGTAAATCATAATAAATGATCAAAATGTAAAATAGAATATCAAATTTTTTGTTTAGCATATTTTTAATGATAGAGAAATAGATAAAATCATTTATATGTCGACCTCATTAAATTGATAAAGCAAAAACCTTCTCAGTCGCCATTTGCCGTAGAAAACTAAATTTCTAATATTGCTATTTAATTTTAAATCCAAGAAAAATGTTGTATTTATTAAGTTGCTATGGATACTCATAACAATTAAATACGAAATTATCAATATAAACATAAGCTATTAAGCTTTACACTAGATACATATGCCCAAAATAACAAATAAAGATAGGTCTCGTCTTTTATATCGGGATTTATAATGTGAAAAGTCAATAATGAATATACCATTAATAAAAACGAATGTATTTAATTAAAAGTTTATTCAATCCTAAATAAAATAACCAAATTTGGAAAAAACTTTGCTTATAAAGTCGACGTACAACCGAGATTTTTACAAAATTCCAATCATGGATTATAATAATATAATTTTTCACATTCTAGTGTAGAAAATCTATTTTAAATCATATGTATCTTAATGCACATATAATCAATGGAAACTTCAGTGTTGCTTTAATAAAAAATACTGAGTATTAAATAACTTGCTTGACAAAAATCATTCGCATATTTAGGAGTAATTGATAATACGTAAAAAGGATATTTTAAAAATCGATATTCTATATCTGTCAATGTAGATTTATATCAGACTAACACCTTGATTACCGTGAATTGAAATAAATTTATTGTATTTTGGCAATAAAACAATTCTTTGAAATACACAGTACATTTTATGTTTCAAAGATTCAATATTAATAGATAACAGAATTTTCAAAAACAATATTTTAAACTTTTATATCAAATTAATATTTTTCCGAGATACGAGCATAACTTTAAAATAAAAATTATATATGTATTCAGTTGATACAGATTGGCATTCTATATATACTACAATACATATTATAGTATTTACCTCAAGTAACGAATTCTAAATTGAAAAATACAGATTTTGTATTAAAAGACATTGAAAACCAAGAGTTTTGGACTCCCGGTAATATTTGAAATATAAAAGACAATGAATAATACTTTTAAAAGAAATATGGATAAAAATATTATTGTTTACATAAATATCAACTGACTTTATGCATAAACATTAAACTGGATTATGAATAAAACAACATTCAAATCCAACATTTATATATCAAATAATAGTTACTTTGATTTTAGTTACATTGGACTTTTATCAATATATTCAACAAATAAGGCAAAATATAAATAACAGCTTGACTGTTAAAACTCCATGAAAAAAGTTAAATATTAAGAAACTCTCAAAAGAAACAATCAGGTTGTAAAAATTGTTTAAGTTAACGTCTATATTCCATATTAATATCAATGAAAATTTAATTATTGGTTTAAACAAAAGCTTGTTTCTATGTAAAGAACATTAAAATGTGAAATTATTCATG